TAGTAGCGCGCAGCGAGGCGCGAGTGGGAGACTTAGTTGTCGGCCAAGGTTGGAGACTTATCGTCTCCCTCTCCCTCTTACACACACACACACACACATAGGTGTGGTAATGAATATACCTACATTTAAGCGGTAGATTCATTCTATTTGACGATATATATATATATTATTTGTTTATTTATTTTTATTTATTTATTCTATTTTATTCATCCTATCGGTGTATCATGAGGTAAGCTGCAAGATCGGAGACTGACCTCTTCCTTCTCTTCCCACCGCCGTCGTCGTTACCGTTGTCTTCGGAGCCGCCGTCGTCGGAGCTGCCGTTGTCCACCCGCAAGCTCAGGTAAGCATTTTTCTCCTCCTCCCTCTTTCTTCCTTTCTCCTTCTTCTTCTTCTTCTTCTTCTTCTTCTTCTTCTTCTTCTTCTTCTTCTTCTTCTTCTACGTTGTTCTTCCTCTTTCTTCTCTTTTTCCTGTGCGCCATCTTCTCCTGCGCAGTCGCTACCTCGTCGTTTTCACCTTTTCATCGCGCGGTCTTCTCCTACCTCCGCACGGTTACCCTCCTCCCTTTCTGTTTTCGTGCGCTATCCCATCTGCCCCCTTGCGCATCTCTCCGCTGTTGTCCCGCTCACCATCTCTACCGCACCCCGCTACTTCTTCTTCTTCTTCTTCTTCTTCTCCTCCTCCTACTTCTTCCCGCGGTGTTCTCCTACCCCCCCTGCTACCACCGCGCCAACTCCGTTGATCCCGTTTGCTCGTCGGTCGCCTTTTGCTCACGGTGACCTACTCCCCCACGCAGTGTCCCTCACCACGTCGCAGGTAGATCCTGCATGATCGCGTCGCGACGGGACCGAGCTGCAGCAAAAAAACTCCCTTGTTTCCTTCACTGAATCTGCCCGAGTTCGGGGGCAGATTCATGAACGTGAATCTATGAGGGCCAACTATGGCTGAAAACAAAAGAAAGAAAATAAATAAAAAAAATAAAAGGAAAAACGAATCTAACTATTACAAAAGAAAAGAAAAAAGAAGAAGAAAAAAAATTCAATAACTAACTACCCGTACAAGCCAAATGTCGGGCAGGGACTCAAACTTCAACCAACCAACAAAATCTAACTTACTCGTAGATCCGAGGTCACGGGTTCAAGTCCCGGCCATCCAAACGCGGGGTGAAAGCTGAGCTCCTTTTAAAAGGAGCTAGCTCAGGGGTCGGCCAGATTCGATCCCTGAGTCTATCGTTGAACAATCTGCACCCTAACCTACTGAGCTAGCTCCCACTTCAGGTAAAAAGGGAGCAGCTCTACTATGTATATAGTAGCGTGGTTCAGTCCAACCAGCAGCCTGAGCCCGTTTTAGCTCGTGCGTGTGTGCACGCTTGCTGGTTCGCGTGTCCGCCTGTGTGCTCGCTGGCTTGAGTGTGTGTGTGATTAGCAAGGATACCTGGTTGACCTGGTATGGCCCGAAGGGCCGGTACTTAACTGTTGCCATAACATCAGGGTTGCGGCGAGGAAAATACTCGAGTGTCATGTCTACCGGTATCACCCGAATAGTGGTAGATGTGTGGGGAACCGGCCGCCGAGCAGAAGAAGACAAAAGTTAGCACCTTTAGGGGCCCGGTAGCGGTAGGTAGGCAGGTACCAGTCCAAGTAGCCTGAGTCTAATGCTTGTTCGAACGATATCAGGGTCCGTAATGAAGTTTCCCTCCTAAAGGGAGGAGACACCGGTTTGCTCGCGTGGTCGAGCGACTAAAAAGTTTTCTGCTCAGGAGGGATGCGTCCCACTTCAAATGGGAGGTTGAGTGAGGGTCTCACCCTCACTTGCGGTATACAAGTAAGAACGGAAGGTACCCCGTCGAGCATGTGCTAACAATCTGGGTGCTATGGCAAGCCGATGATCACACCGTTCTAATTGCTCCGGCCGTACGGTCGGGGCGTATATTAATTTATTCTGACTAATGTACTGACGATTAAGTCTCTGTGCGTGTCATAGATCTTACCGACACAATATTAACCCAATTGACCCTTCGACCTCTTCTGTCGAGGGGTATTACTACTGATCCTAATCATCACGGCTCGCGTCATAATAACACGCGCTTATACCTTCGAAATTTTCTCGCCGATTCGCCTCGGCCTCATTGGTCGAGGTATTCGGTTTGAACGTCACACTCAGGCGTGCACACCCTTTCCGTTCCCGACTGGCTCCATCATGGTAGCCGACGCCGTCACCGTGTCGAATGCAAACACATGTCCAAAAACCCTTGTAAGGGTATTTGGTCCGACAACGCGCATTTCCAACCGGTGCCCTAACCACCGAGCCATATAAAAAACAACCACTTCAATCCATTATAACATAGAATTGAGGCTCGGGACCTCACAATTTAACCCGGAGTACTTTGCAACATCAGCCAACTTATAGCTTATAGGCTTGTGCCTGCATAAAATCACTAACTACGACTTTCCAAGTTTCTAACATAAATTCAAAGTTACCAGGGCATCAAAACCAGGTCTTACTACCGTACCTTTTTTTTTTTTTTTTTTTTTTTTTAAGTCCATGGTGTTGTAGAGGCCAGTTACTGAGTACACAGTGATCACCTGGAGTAGTAGGCCGCGGGTTTCCTAGAATATGGGACTACCTCCCATCCCATCCTTACGTCAATACTCCTAGCGCACCCCCTATCCCACTATCCTACCTCAGTGTGACCAGCACTCAGGACCATTACCCTACCAATGGGCAGGTAACTCGGACCGAACAACAGTGATAGGCACCAGGGCTGATAGGTTACCCAACCATGGTGGAAGCGGAGTCGAACGAGCCTTGTCGAACGGGAACTTCGGACGCCAAGCCCATACAATCTACTACAGGCCCCAAGAGACTCTAGACCCTAAGTTCAGACATCGTAGGCACTGAAGCGACTTATTTCCATCTTTCCCTTCCCCTAGGGTCTAAAAGCCTTATATAGCCACCAGACAGTTCTATCCGAATATCAGGAGGGACTCCGGCGACCCTTACCTTAGACCCCCTCAGTCACCCCAAGAGACTCTAGACCCTAGGTCCAAACACCGTAGGCGCCGAAGCAACTTGTTTCCGTCCTGCCCTTACCCTAGGGCCTAAGCCTTATAATATGCCCGAAGGTTGTGTGTGTGTTCTGTGATCAATGTAGCATCATGTGTGTTCGAAGCGAGAGCGGGGTAAGCTCGAATATCAGGGGGACTCCGAAGACCCTTACCTGTACCTACTACAGATACTAGACCGCACCCAGTGACTAGATCCCCCCAGTCACCCCAAGAGACTGTAGGCCCTAGGTCAAGACACCGTAGGCGCCGAAGCGACTTATTTTCGTCCTGCCCTTACCCTAGGGTCTAAGCCTTATAATATGCCCGAAGGCTGCGTGTGCTCTGTGAATCAGTGTATCGATATGCATAGGCAGCATCATGTGTGTATTTCGAAGCGAGAACAGGGTAAGCTGGACAAGAACCCATCCCCCAAAGGTCCAAACCAAGCTCGAACCCGTGACCTTATAGCATGTAATCGAATGAGTGTACCATGTGAATAACTAGCGGAAATGGCACAAATGATTGATATGCCTGACTGGGGAGATCGACAGAACACCCAAGACCAACGCCCCCAAGCAGCCCATGTGAAACCCAGAACCAACATACAACACCGTGAACAGCCCTTGGGTGGTGCGCAGGCAGTGTCTGTAATAGTACCATGCGTCAGCCCAAGGGAGTGT